GTGGTAGTATCTCGGGAAGAAAAAAGTAGGTCATGAATTTTGAAACAAACAAAATTTATATATATATATATTTAAGAAAGTGAGAGAGGGGAGAGAAGGGGAGGGTAAAGGGAGAATAAGGAGAAGAAAATGTTGGAGTGGATGAAATTATTTTTTTAAAATTTTAACTTTACCAGTAAAAAAAAAAAATTTTTTTTTTATTTTTTTTATCGCGCGTAGATTTTAAAAACCCGGTTTTACCGGATCGTCGCCCCCCTGCCCCCACCCAACCGTCTCGTTTAAAGTGCAGAAATTTTAAAAATACCTGAAATTCCATTCCTAATTCATCACATCATCATCATCATCATCATGACGATTGTTAAATTTTTTGTGTTTTTTTTCTCGTTTCGATTGTTTAAAATTCGATAATTAATTTAAATTTTTTTTCCTTTACTATCAATTTTTTTTTAAATATATACTTTCGGTTTGTTTTTTGTTTCGAGGCGTGACTATAAAATATAGCGCTATAAAATTTATTTTTATTTTACAACCAAATCTCTATAACTTTACCAAGGCAAAATAAATTTTTCTTTTTTTTTTTTTTTATTTACTTATTCTTCATATTTTCTCTCTCTCTCTCTCTGTAATAATTTATTGATGATTACATTAGAATTATAAATTCCATTTAAAAAAAAAAGTTGACAAATTTTTATTTTTTTAATGAGAAATTCGTGTCGCCCACTTAAATTATCATTATTATTATTATTATTATTATTTAATATATATATTACAAAAAATTTCAAAATTGCAAAATTTATTAAAGAAGAAGAAGGAAAAAAAGAATTGATTAGGTTAAAACAAGAATAAGAAGATTTGTGGTGAGACAAAGAGAGAGGGGGGAGGGAGGGAGGATTGAGGTGAGAGAGAGAGAGAGAATGTACCATCATAATTTTGTCACACATTAACTAACGTCAAAAACGAATACAACAACTGATATTTATAAGAATTTTTTTGTGTAAATACCAACGCGACATCGTTTTCCTGGTAATTCGTACACCCGGTCACCATGTTTGAAATATTTGTGAGGGGTGACAAGAAAGCGAAAAAGGAGGGAAAGGGGAGGGAAAAAAAGAAAAAGGTAGCGAAAAACATAAAAAATCGATGGGGGGTAATTAATCCGGTCATTCCATATATAAAAATCAATCGATCGATCGATTAAAATAATTAAAATAAGATAAATCGTTTCTCAAAGGGAGTGGGGGAAAGAGGAGGGAGGGGGTTGCGTGACGATTTGCAAAATGGCAACGTCACGAAACTTTTTCCTTAAAAAAAATAAAAAAATTTTTTTATTTTTCTTCCCCGAATCCTTTGAAAACCCCCCCCCTTTTTTTTAAAAAAACGATATCTGGGGGGATCTTTTCATCATTTAATAATAATAATAAT